CAGTGTGAGGTCACAGTGGGACCCCAGGCCAGTGTGAGGTCACAGTGGGACCCCAGGCCAGTGTGAGGTCACAGTGGGACCCCAGGCCAGTGTGAGGTCACAGTTAGCCCCGCGGCGCACAGCTCAATGTGTGAATATAAACCAGGGTTAAAACCTGGGTTGAAATGGGAGCCATTAAAGTTGCTGCTGTCTGACACTCAGAGCTTCTTTCAAACATGTCTTCTCTCCCAGAGGTCGAACTGGAGATACGTTTCTCCTCCAGGTCACCAACCAAACTGGTTCCCAGGATGAGATGTTTGAACAGCTTCTATTCAGATCTACAGCCTGATTTCCTCCTTTCCTCTTACAGAAGCTGCGCCTTCCAAACCATCAAAAACAGTCCTCCCAGTTCTCCCAGCAGCCTCCTCATCCTCCTCCAGTCGGCGCTCCTCAGGGAGGAATCAGGGAGTCCATGAGCTGTCTGCCTGTGAGCAGCTGACGGTTGAGCTGGTCAGACATGAGGACAGCTGGCCCTTCATGAAGCTGGTATCCAAGACTCAGGTACACAAACCTTTGATCCCAACAGCTGATCTAGTTGAGCTTTGCTTCCAAGCCGCTCTGCAGGAGCTCCTGGTTGCTCCTCAGGGCCGTTACCTGCAGAGCGCCCTGAGCTCAGCCCACTTAGAGCTGCTGCTGTCCTCTAAACATCCTCCTTGTTTGTGTGCAGGTTCCTGATTACTATGACATCATCACAAAGCCCATAGCTCTGAGCACCATCAGAGAGAAGGTCAACAACTGTCAATATCAGACCGCAGGTGAGAAAGAAGTGCTGAGACCCTAAAATTAGGATTCTAGGATCTGAGATGATTGATTATAAAACGAAATCAGCTGAAGTTCAAACTCAGCAGAATTCAACCACCTCCTGATACAGCAGAGCCTTTAGAGCCGCAGACAGCAGACTGCGGTGCTTCTCTGAGGAGAGGCCAGCGTTTCCATATCAGATAGGTGAGCATCGTCTCTACTGGGTGCTTCTCTGGGGAGAGGCCAGCGTTTCCATATCAGATAGGTGACCATCGTCTCTACTGGGTGGTTCTCTGAGGAGAGGCCGGCGTTTCCATGTCAGATAGGTGAGCATCGTCTCTACTGGGTGCTTCTCTGAGGAGAGGCCGGCGTTTCCATATCAGATAGGTGAGCATCGTCTCTACTGGGTGCTTCTCTGA